CAAACTCACAGTACACGGCGGGAGAAACGGACGGAGGAGAAGAAGATCATTGAGAGGCTACATGTACCCGTTGTTTAGGGAGGAAGCCGGGCTTTCTGGTGCTCGGTTTGACCCACGGCTTGCACTGATGCAGGGATGGGATTGGAGAAAGAAATGATGTTTGCGGGTAAGAAGATTCGGGAGGGTGGTCACTCGCAATGCATGTGACGGTTTACGTGGGAGAAGCAGTGTGGTGATTCCTGCTGTACCTAAGCATGGCAACATGGGTATATACCTTGGTGGTCTTTTCATTTTGTGGTCACCAGGCTGTCTGTATTGGATGCTCTAGTTGTGTGTCGATATTGGCGGATGCCTTTTGATGTTCTTGTATCAAAATTCGAGTTGCTGAACATGTTTCTTCTACCAGTCGAGAACAGGTGTGCGTTTATAATACTATACCGTATTGCCCGTATGGCCGTATGTCCTCCGATCTATTCTATTCCCCCCTTTAAACCATCCCCCTACTCTTTATCACCACCATTTTGCTTCTATCCTTTTCTTTTTCCGCCTCTATCTATCACCGCACGACCTCATGACCTGTCATCTCATCTCATTCATTCCTCGTCCCTCTTCCCTGGTCCCCATCCTCCGCCTCGGGCAACATGACATCGATCACCCACGGCGCATTCACCGGCCTATACCGGAGATTCATGATACTCGCGTTGACAAAGAGCGTCTCGGCACCGAACTCGAGCCCGCGCGCGTCCACGGTCGTCGCGCACCTCTGCCGAATCTGCTCTTCGTAGGGGTCGGGCTGGAGGAGTGTTTCGCCGCCGGGGACGTCCTGTTGCAAGTTCTGTGTCTCGTACATGTAGTAGCAGTTGGGGTTGTCCTTAGGGTGGTATGGCGGGTTGGGGAATTGTGAGGGTGAGATGGTTGGGTCTTGTTGGGTTTGTTGTCGCCGTCTCTGCTCGGTCATCGAGGAAGGAAATGAAACATCTTCGACATTGCTAGGCCTGGTTGCAGGCCCATCCTGTTTCTCTCCCTTGCCCTCTCTTTTCTCAGTCTCGGTCCCATCATCGTGCTCGTCACGACCGACATCGCCCCCAGTTATAGACGTGTATACTCCCTCTCCCCCAATGTCGATCCCAACACCACCCCCATCCTTCCCATCAAACCACCTCTTCCACACCGCCCCCCACGCCTCGTGAATATGTCCAAAGCAATGAATCCGCGGTCGACACCGCCCAACCGCCCTGCGGAGATGGTCACAGCCGACGTTCTCCCCGCGATTCACGCCGTCGGGCCCGGGAGCCCAGACCTTGTCCAAGATGCCCCTCGGGGGACCGTGGGTGACGACGATGTCGATTTCCCCGTGGTCGGGGACGGGGACTGGGACGGGGACTGGAGAGGGTGGTTCATGCTCGACACGATGTCCGTCCCCTTGACCTGCCTCTTCTCCATCTTCATCATCCCCCGTCTCCGGACCCTGACGCCGCGAACGTGGATGATTATACCTATCGACACCCCGCTCATACCCAAACGCCCAATTACAAAACTCTGGCTGCCACGCGCTCGCATACACGGTCAAGCGGGCGCCATTCCTCAGCGTGAACGCCGCGACCCCTTCCTCGAGGTACCGAATCCCGGCATCCCTCGCCCTTTGACTGGTATACAACTCGCGGATGCGGTCGAGCGCGTCGTCCGCGTACGTCTCGTAATGGGCGTGCAGGCGCGGGAAGCGGGCGTAGTACGCCCTGTCGAGCGTGATGTCGTGGTTTCCCGGGACCACGATCTTGAGCGTCTCGGAGGGGGTGTTCCTTAGTAAGGTCGCGGCGGCTTCGTGCTGCGAAAGCGCCCCGTTCATCGTCAGGTCGCCGCAGTGAATGAGCACGTCGGCCGCGGGGAGCGGGGCGTGGAACGGCACCACCGCCGGCGCCGCCGGAGATGCTCCTTCACCTGGCTGCGAGGGTAGCTGGGCGTGCGTGTCCGATATGATCAGGATGCGGGTGGATATCATCTTGCGCTCTTTTCTTCCTGAGGTGGTCGCCATTCTGATGTGTCTCGGCTCTACCGGTGGCAAGAGAACACAGCAGAAAAAATCTCACACATAGATGATGTCCTTCGCGTCCGCGGTGCTATGGGAGTCCTCGCAACGGGATGGTACCAAGGGAATAAATTATAGTTATCGCGACCTAGGAGAGAACAGGTGGGTACACTTTTGTAAGATATAGAGCAAGCTTGTACTTTTGATGTCTTTGCACTCCACATGTTGCCATGTAGGTGGACGGCAATCGAATCGATACGAAACAAGAAACCGCTTTTACTGCGATATATGGAAGGTGAATATCGCAGATAGACAATTACTCCATCGTGTTCGGTACCTGGGAGCATTCCATCAAATTGAGATCCATCTTAAAAGGCCCTCGGCGGGTCATTCAGAAATTCAAGTGACAACGGCTGATATCCATCTCACCAAGAGACGGCATGCAAATGGTCGAATCGAAAACATCCCTGTCAAGACCCGCTGAATGGCCAATTCTGAGAATCCCCAACATCCTCTTCTAAAGTAGCAACGGCACAAATGAATGGTCAGCCCACTTGTAAGAGACCATTTGAGCCATCCTGGAACCCCATCGCTAATGATACACGCTCGAAGAAGAAGAGTGGTAATACCCCCTAACCCGCATGTTCGACAATCTCACTGACCAAGGTGCCGTTCTTTATCACACTGCGTATCTGCTCAGGGAACGGCACTTCCTTGCTATCGTCTTCGGATTCATCCTTGGGAGGCAACACCGCATTGATGGCACTACATTTGCTGGTGAAAATCTCCGTGCCTAGACTTTGGTTTGACAAGTAGATCTGAGCTCCGTCCACCTGGTCGAGGAGAATGGTCGGTACCACTCCGTCAACCTGAATCTGAATCTTGGGTGCTTTGATCACGTCCAGGCTGGAGACCAGTGAGTCCACCAGTATTGAAAGACCTGTGCAGTTGTCGATAGAAATCGCGTTGGCCTTGCCGCTGACCTTGAGGACGCATTTATTGCATTTGGAGATTAGAATGCTGTGATTGAGTTCGGCCGGAATCTCAATGATTTCGCTGGGGAGATTTTCAAAGTTTTCGACAATCCATTTGTTCCCATCCAGCTCCTTCCGACCAGGCTTCTTAGACCTCATGCTGTCGGGTTTCTTATTGGGAACTGGAGACTTGCCACGTCCTGTAACGGACGTCTGGGATGCGGATCGATGTGGCACCGTGGAACTGCCTCGCAGTGCCGGGTTTTTGTGTGTCATTTCTGACTTGTCGACCTTCCTCAAGCCTGCCGTGACGGAAGAACCTTGATTGATCTGGTCGAAGACTGCAGACATGTCTCCGCCTTGTGAAGCAGCTCCCGATGGAGGTAGCGGGGGAGCTGGGGGACCATCGTCGTCGAATTTCGGTAGAGGTGGTGGCGGTGGAGGAGGCAGAGGACCCCCAGCAGCTGTTGGTGCACTGGGGGCAGCCCCGCCGGACTGTATTTGCTTCAGGGCCTCGAGAGCATCAATGCCATCCTTGGTATTCCATGTGAGACCCGTGGGGAAATGCTCCTTCACGTATGCGGCAAGGGATCGAAAGACTTTGTAGTAAGCCTGGATGTATTCGACATGTGACTTGTCCCTATCGAACCCTGTCAGCGGCACGGACGGAGCAAACTGATCCAGCACCACTTACTTGTCCTTGTACTCTTTCAGAATCTTGTTCCCATCTGCAAGATCCTGTCAGTACCATGGTTTACAGTTCGAGACGTGACACAGTCCGGAAACTTGTGCCCGAAGTGTGCTAGGTATGAGAGACAGCTTCCGGTCTGGAAAGTCACTTACAATATTGAGCTCCTCCGAGTGTATCCGTCACGAAATCACCGGGTCTCCTCTCCACGATCCAGCCCAAGGCGACAATACCTTCTGAAACAGCACTGAGGTGGGTGAACAAAGGAGACGGGCGGTTGGCTTCTCGGATTTCGTCCACAGTTGAAGTATACCGGTGGAGTTCAGTCATCAACTCAGGAGGTTGTGGATCGGGCTTCTTTGCTTTCGCTGCGACGTGGAGGTATGTCCGTTCAGCTTCAAAGGCCGCTTTGACAGCCTTGGCTTGTTCTTCCACGAGACCACCGATCTTCTCGCTAGCCTTGACAAAAGCCACAACATCCTCCTCGATGATCTGATTGAAGGCGTCTACTGATTTAGGCAAGGGTTCTGGAGGGGGTACTGTCTGCTCCGGGGTGCCAGCAGCGGACGGCGGAGAGAGAGCAGGGATAACTCCATTGCTTGGAGTGGCTCCTGGACCATCTATGGCTGTTGCGATGTCTTCAAGTCGTGAAGTGGCAGCTTCTAGTCTGGGCCAGGCAACGCAGTTAGCATGGGTTAGATCCATTGAGACCCTGACAGCTGGACGGGAGCGAAGCGAAGCTGGGACACAGGAAGAATCACACACCTCTTGATGAGAGTTGTTAGATTGTGCATAGTCCCTTGCGCCGCCATGGTGAAAGAGTGCACTAAATGATTTTATCCAAAGAATAGGTGGTTACGGATCTTACACAGGATGAGTTGTCGCGGAGTTGTAAGGCAAAGACGCTTCGGCCAAACATTGGTTCGTGAGCCGCAGTTTGCTATGGAGGCTCTGCGTCACCGTATGAAATTCCGGTGGAGGACAAAGCATTATGACGCCATAACACTCTCCGCCTCCACAAGCAACAGGATGGATCAGTAGCATCTCACTTGGCCTCAAAAGACCTCCTACCCGCACCAGATCTCTCCACTCAGACAATGGACAGCAGACAGCGGACATAAGCGATGCTGATCCACCGTGTGGGATGGACTCGTTGCTGAGCTAATGTCATGACCAGCTAGGATCACTTCAAGATGAACTAATGCTCGTTGCTCACAGAATTGCTGAGATAGATTCCGGATTTTGGTGCCTTCGCCTACCTCTACTGAGTACTGCTCTCCGAACCCCCCTTTTGTCTCAACTCCGACACACGATGTCTGCCGACTCGCAAACGATGATCAGGTGGGAAACCGCACAAGACGGTTTGGACAAGTTGACCAAATCCACCTGTCCAATTCCCGTACCGGGTGAGGGTGAAGTGCTTGTCGAAGTTCGTGCAGTGTCTCTGAATTATCGAGATACTGAAGGTACGCTGGACTTCAGAATTTTTTGCCTTCTGATGGCACCAGTGGAGAGGCACTCGCTCACCTTATCGTGTAGTGGCCATGGGCCTTTATACTCACCACAAAGCCGTTGGGGCGAGCCCAAAAGTCGTACCCTGCTCAGATATGTGCGGTATTGTGGTTGGGATCGGGAATTCAAAGCATGGCTGGAATATCGGAGACCGTGTCTTGTCCATTTTCTGCCAGACACATCTCACCGGCCAGATCAAAGAGAAGGACATGGCCTTTGGTCTCGGGCTGCCTCTTGATGGTGTACTTCAGCAATATAGAGTCTTTCCAGCGACGGGCTTGGTCAAAGCTCCTGATTACCTCAATGATGAGGAAGCATCCACTCTCCCTATTGCTGCAGTCACAGCATGGATGTCTATCAACGAAATGAGACCCATCAATCATCCAGGTGGGCACGGAGAAACAATTCTACTGCAAGGGACCGGTGGAGTTTCCATAAGTGGCCTACAAATAGCACATGCCGCCGGTGCAAAGAGTGAGTGGCTTCCATACCCATTTTCTTCGGATTCTAATCATCTCACAAGCAATTGTAACTTCCTCCTCGGATGCCAAACTTGCTCGGGCCAAGGCGTTGGGAGCGACATTCACGATCAACTATCGCAAGGATCCAGACTGGCAGAAAACCGTGATGGACTTGACCGAGAACGAGGGTGCCGACATTATATTTGAGACGGGAGGCGCACATACTCTAAGGAAATCATTCGACTGTGTTGCGTTTGGGGGTCTCATCGATTGCATTGGTTATCTAAGTGGGAAGCAAGACGAACCTACCGATCGCACCAATACCAACGTCCTTGCGTTGCGGCGCAATGTCACGCTGAAAGGAATCCTCAACGGGCCCAAGGACAGGTTTGAAGAAATGATGCGCTTCTATGATGCGAAGAAGATCAGGCCTGTGGTCGACAAAATTTTCCCCTTTGACGAAGCCAAAGAAGCCTTCCAGTATCTATTTGGAGGGGGACACTTTGGCAAGGTTGTTATACGGGTCAGTCCCTGAATGTGCTGGGGATTGACTCGAGCGCAGACCAGGACATTATGTTGTATAGCGCACTTTAGAGATTTTGCGAGATTTCGCCTCTCGTCACCCACTTTACCTGGTTTCGCCTCTTAACGTCTCCTTCTGCAAATTATGCAACGTGTGACTGGCCAATGATGTCTTTCCGCGCCATCCTCCACTGCCTGGGCAAGTTGGGCACCCTGTGATAGCCGATAGGCTAGGGTTTCCAAGCTCTAAGCGGCCACTCAAACAGTCCCGGACCCGCGGCCGCTTTCAAACTGGCAACCAAAAGCATCATCCATGGTGGCTGGTGGTGGCACCAGTGGGCCACCGGCGGGGTTTGTGAGGCAAACAAAACATGGCACAAGACACCGTTTTATATCCCATCCCCAGACCTTCTCATATATCCTTGACCCACGAAGCCCCGTCGCTAAATAATATTTCCGGGATCGCGTATCATGTCAGAACCTTCGAGGGCTGAACGTCCTGGTCCGAACGCTGGCCAATCTTGCCGCGAATGTCGGCGTCGCAAGGGACGTTGCGATGGCAGGATGCCAGTGTGTTCCATCTGTCAACGCTACAATCGACACTGTCTGTATGACAAGCACAGCAGATCATCTTTGACGAGAAAGTCAGTGGCATACACTCTCCCTCGTGCCGCGCATTCCGTCAAGTTCGCTGGGACTAATGCATCCACAGGCACCTGACGGAAGTTGAAGAGCGACTGGAGAAAGCAGAAGCTCTATTGAGGACATTTTTTACAGAGGCTGAATTGTCGCAAATGCTTGTTCATGGTATCACCAACAAACTGGACGTCCCATCCAAAGCTGCGACCGAATCGTCTTCCCAGGCGACTACATCAGGCTTCCTCCCTTCTCCAGCACAAGGCTCGGCGCAGCGCCAACAGGAGCGTACAGAGTCCTTCTCGACGATTGGGGCAGGTTCGGATCAGAAAGTCAATCTAAGTCACCTCGAGTCCCCTGCTGATTCAAAAGGCGATGTGGCCGACGACACTCCTTATCCCCTCGAAAATCCCCCAGCAGCTGACGACGATTTTGAATGGGATGAACGGGAATCTTCGTGGAATATTGCGGATCCCGGTGCCGGCCGTTCAGCATTTGGGGATGATGTCGAGTCTGAGATCCCCAAAATCACAGACGGAATGGCCACGTTGACTGCTGACGACTCGAATGCTGGCTTTCTTGGATCCGTCTCGGGCTCCGCTCTCCTACGGCTCATTTGGAGGGGTACAGGCACCGAAAACAAGACAGATACAAAGAGTGCACGACGGGAAAGTCTGGAGCAACTCTTCAGCCATCGCTCGAATGAGCATCCGGCAACCGCTACCCCCTGGCTGCGGGCACAGCCTCTGTTCACCCGGGCGGTTGTTGATACACTCATCGATGCCTATTTTGCTCTCTACCACCCAACCTTTCCCATCCTCCATGAAGCTACTTTCCGTGAACAGTACGCGAAGCTCAACAGCCGCACCATGGGAAGCACATGGCACACCCTGGCGAATCTCGTCGCGGCTCTTGGTTCCTTTGTCTCGAGTACTTCCTCGGATGATACCCACGTCACTCTTTTCAACGGCGTGAAAGCGAATTTGTCCATCAACTCGCTAGAGACTGGAAGTCTTAGTCTGGTCCAGGCATTTGCCATGGCTGCAAATTACCTGCAAAAAAGAAACAGACCCAATAGTGGCTACAACTACGGAGGCATTGCGCTGCGGCTCGCCATCTCGCTGGGACTCCACAAGGAGTTTCGTGGATGGCAGACTGCGCCGTTCAAGAAGGAGATCCGGAGGAGAGTATGGTGGTCGCTCTGTGTGCTGGATGTCGGCGCAACCGTGACTTATGGCAGACCATTGAATTGGCCACAAGTAGGAGTCGATATCCCGTTTCCGCTGAATATCCACGAGAAGGTCGGTGCTGCCCAACCCCGAGCTTTTCATATACTGACACAGAGAACAGGATCTCCAAATGGACTCTACGTCTTGCCCACCCGAGGTCAATGAGGCCACCATCTACACATACGTCCGAACTCAGTCATCCTACCATCTTCACACAATCAGAATCTACAATCGACTCATTTCTAATCCCATTCCTTCTGCCGCTGAGCTGATCTCCCTCGATGATGAGCTCATCGACGGCTGGCTAAGTAGCCTTCCTCCCTATTTCCGCGACGACAACTTACCACTTCCCAACGAGTATCTTCTGGGTCATGCCATCAGCCGCTGGCGCTTTCGAATCATGCGCATCATCATGTACCGCCCGTTCTTGGTCCGATCAGCACAAGACGGCCTGGACGGCACCACAGTAGCCGCTGTCCCGCCGGCGCAGAACGCTTCTGCTGAAACAATTGCCACCAATCGGTGCTTCAAGGCCGCTGAGGAGTGCATTTCGGCCATTTTCCAGTTTTGGTCATCGGGAACTCACACTAGGCTTGCGGCTTGGTATGTCCTGTAAGTGCTGGTGTTCTGTCTTTCTGTCACGGCTGTGATCCTGTTGCGGGTTTGATTGCTAATATCATCCACTTGGGCAGATATTTCCTACTCCAAGCGGCGTTGATTCCGATCCACTGTCTGCGGCGCAACCCAAATCACCCGGATGCCAGCTCATGGCGGGATCAAGTCCTGACAGCTCTGAGCATAATCAACGCAATGAACGACCTAAACCCAAGTGCCCCAAAGTGTCGAGATATCATTTACCGACTCTGTGGAGAGAGTCTGGACTACAAACCCCGGCCGCAGTCCCAACAGCCTCGTCCGCCATCGAATGTGCAGACCCAACAAGATGCGGGTGCCTCGTGGACAAACTTTCCAAACTCGGGAGCCGGGTTCACCACGCCGCCTTTCACCTTTCCGACTACGGATTCTACTGACACGAGCATGAATGCCTGGATGACCGAGATCGACACCGTCATTGACGGCTACGATATCTACTGCGATCGTCTGAGCCACGCGGCCATGGCTGGGATGGGTGATCTAGGCAGTGCCGGCGAAGCTGGACCACCAGGGGCATTCGCGAGCAATGACGGAACACAAATTGGGACGGGGGTTCAAGACTGGGATTGGGGCCTGATGCTGTAATGGAATTTCCCTCGAGCGGGCAACTGATAACAATCACTTGGGATTTGCATTGTCTTGGTCCACCAACCACGTTAGCTTCGACCAAAAGAAAAAGACATCATCTTCGGATCGACATTGTGGTAACTCCATCCATCAGCAGCCTTCCCTCGCGTCAACGCTCACAATGGCTATTATTCACTTCCCTTTGTGGTGGCCAGGGCTCTAAATCAGGAGATAGCCGCCCTCGGAATGCACGACGGTGCCGGTCTGAAACGAGTTCTTGATGATGCCCAAGTAACTCTCGACGACATCCTCGACGGAGCCCAACTTCCCCAGCAAGGATGACTTTTTGTACAGGGCGGCGAGCTCCTCCCTCTTCATGCCCTGGGGTATGGTCGAGTAGAGCAATTCGGTCTCGATGGCGCCGGGACTGACGAGGTTGACGCGGATGGGGGCCAGGTCGACGGCGAGACCGCGGGTGAGGGGTTCTTTGCCGCCGCTGATGCCGACAAAGGCGCCGAAGCCCGGCCGCGGCTTGTAGATGAGGGCGCCGCTGGTCATGGTGAAGGAGCTCGTCGAGGCCTTGTGGAGGTAGCGGGCGGCGACCTTGGCGAGGAGCACGACGCCGGCCAGCCGCACGGCGCCGGCCTGGCGCATCAGATCCGTGGTGATGGTGTCGAGGCCCAGTTTTCCCGCGAGCTGGAGATCGCCCGCGGTCTCGACGACGTGGTCGAGCCGGTTTGCGCCCTTGTCTGTGGCGAAGTCGAAGAGCGCGACGAGCTGCTTCTCCACGTCGTCGGACGCGAGCGTGTTCAGGTCGACCGTGTGGCCGCGCACGTTTGCCGCGTGCTCAGGGTACGAGGCCTTGAGGCTGTCGACGGCGGCGGCGACCTTGTCGGCGGACCGCGAGGCGACGACCACCTTGGCCCCGAATTCCAGACACGCCTCGGCGATGCCGTAGCCGATGCCCGTGGTGCCGCCGACCAGGAGGACCGACTTGCCCTGCAGTTTCGAGAGGTATTTGGAAGGCATGTTTGCAGAGTCGCTCGGAGGAGGAACTGAGATTTCAGCTGTAGTTCGAATTCGAGTCACAGTGTGCCTCTTGTCCAAGGACTGATATGGTGCTGCGCGCAGAGGGGGAGAAGCAGAAGAACGAGAACAAGAAGGCGGTTATGTGTAACTACCTCGTATTGAGGATGATACCAACGAGACCAACAAAAATTTTTCGACCAGCAGCAGGAACCAAACCCTTTTATTTTATACTTGTCCTTGGTAGATTTACATATGAACTATTATAACCTTCCCTCACTTCCTCAAAACCAACCAACCAACCAACCAGATCCACCCGTCATCGTCATCGTCATTTCCATACTCGTTCGCGACACAACCAGAAACCCAAACACCCCCGCTAGGGAACGGAGACGGTCTACCCACCCAGCCATCTACCTCCCCCCTACTAAGCAAGTAGTAGGAATGTACAGAAAAGACCAGGGGGGCGAGCGGAAGATATTTGGTCCGTCGGAGCGGAGAGATCTAGACAAGCAACACTACCTACGATGGTTAGACTTTTTTTCGTGTTCACTATGAGTGAGTACCTTGCTCGCTAGATAGGTAGGTTTTTGGGTAGATTTGCTTTGTGGATGGACCGTGACTAACTAACTACGTTTGGCATTGGACATTAAGCATTATGTGGTTGGTGGTTTGTTCCATGGAGTTAAGACGACAGGTTTCGAGATGTCTACATAGATGCATATGCACATACGTTCAAAAGTCAAAAGTGGTTGTTTGTTGTACTTTGGAAAAAGTCGAGGTCCGAATCACCATGTCGGCGGTACGAGGCGAGGTTAGTCTGGCAGGCTAGAGGCTTGGATTGGTGGCTCCCTTGAGGCGAGGGTGGAGGGTCGGAATCTCTATCTCCGGACGAAGGATGGAGATACCCCTCTGGAGGTATGGAGGTGTGTACATACCGAGTACTGCTTGTACGAAAGTATGGAGGTACCTGCGTACCTCCCTCCACAGGTACAGCACCTCCTGTTGTGTACTCGGTACAAACAAGTGTGTAGGTACTCGGTGCTCAACATGCCGAGTCCCTCAGGCCGCTTGCTACCGTCTGTCCCTGTCCGTCCATCCCCCCTTGCTCTATATGTACTTTGTCCACCGTGCTGCGTCCTGCGCGCGGCACGAGCGTCGCCTGACCGTCCGTGGCCCGGACGAAACCACCCTGTTTTACTAATCACCCAACCAACCTCCCAGCGCGCTACACTAAGAACGACAAGGCTGTCACTTGCGTTGCATGTCGACGTGGTAGATGGGCAGACGGCCTTTCGGTCGATTGGTCGGTCGATCGTACGTGCAATGGAGGACTAATTACTACCTAGCAGGCTAGCTTGGTAGGACGTACTGCATTCGTTTCTAGTTCATGTACAACAAGTACAAAGGATCCTGGATCGTGAACGGGAGAGATATGTCCGAGGACGAGGACGAGGAGACGAGTGTACCTTGGTGGAAAGTGGAGAGAGCAGGAGCAAGAGCAAGAGCACCCACGGATGGACCAGATGGGCTGCATTATTCTTATCCATTTCATTAATCCTTGTGTTCGATCCGCTGGTCGCATCCTTGTATGTACGCATGCATGCACGATAGACCAGACTGAGTATGACGGTGTGCCCGAACGAGGAGAACGCGGACAAAATATATTAACCGCTTGCCGCCTCGTACCCAAAACGGCCGCAGTCTCCTCGCCAGTATCAAGTACAACAATATCGTCAACGTCGTTATCCGCAAAACCAACCCCTGAGCAAGAAACAGATCCAGAACGACCTCTCCCCCAAATCCTAAACAGCCAAACTGCTAACTCCCAACTCGCCAGTCATCCAACTAGGCATCTCGTTCAAGTCGATATACTCCGGCCCCAACTCCGCAAGCTTCTTTAACCCCAGAAACACATCGCTGCCGGAAAATGTCAGAGTGATGTCGCCGTCCATCTTTGGTTCTGCCGCTGCGCCAAACGACTCATCCCCATCGTCCTCAATCGGTATCGCGTTACAGAGTTTAATCTGAACACGATCCAGTGGTGCATGGCGATCCCCAGACATGTCTCCGAACCGTTTTTCAACGAGTCGACACCTCTCATCTTTTACATTGGTCTCTTCCTTGCCGAGTACGTCGACCGGGCTGTTTTCCGACGCCTTCGCCCCCTCGGCAAAGACAGTGTACGCTCCACCACCCATTCCTGGCTGTTGGTTCCCCCTGAGCTCGCACATAGTTTTCAGAGACTTAGCCACGAGCTTGGTCGTGTCTAGTGCCCATCGACGCTGGGGACGAGAAAGTGCCTTTGGAATGGCTTCTAGGACGATCCTCTTCATGGCGGCCATGTCCACTTTGGCCGCCATCGTCCCGTCTTTTGTGCCATTTTGCCCGTTTGGCCGTCTGCTCGAGCTCGACGAGGATCCAGATATCGAAATATAGACATAAGGGCAGCTGTCGGGAAGAGCTATGTACATGATGCGCCCAGAATCAGTCGCATGCTTGGCCCGGGCTGGGATCCTGGATCGTTTAGGTGCAAATGCCGAGTTCGGAGTAATGTAGAGCCGCAGGATCGTGAGTCGGTAAGGCGGCGGCATACGATGGAGGTGATAGTGCGCTTTGACCAGGGGCGAAATCTCTGCCTTCAGCGCCGAGAGAAATGCTTCTGGAGAGACTTGAGGATAAGGCGGTTCGGGTTGGTGATGACTCAGTTTTCGCTTTTTCTTGAGTGGATAAGAACCATCGTCGTTATCGTCGTCATCGTCATCAAGCCCGTTTTGCTGTTTTTCCGCTTGCAGTGGTACCAACCTCAGCGCACTCCATCTCAATGCGTGGTCATTCTGCTCCAGAGCAGCAAAGTCAACCATGGCATGTTGGTGCAGCGACAGCCCCCTCCGCCAGTCGCCATCGACAATGCGGTCAATGATGTCACGCTTAGCAGCTTTTGCGACATCTTTTCTGAGATTGTCGTACAGTTTGCGCAGTTCTTCAACACTCTCTGCTGGCGTGTGGAGGTAATCCTCTTCATCTGCTTCGAAACCCGTACGATTGCTCTGCAGATAAGGAGCAGAAGTGCGCTTCTCCTCCAGCCATGTCAGAGCAAGTTCAAGGATAGTTTCCTTTGACAGCCGGTTGAGTGAGCGGGCGAGGATGGGTGCCATGGTGTGGTTGAGGGATTTGTTTACATTGGGCTTGAAACGGGAAGAGAGAAAAGCCGAAAGGTAAACAGACGAGTCATGACTAGATCACGTGACCCACAAATTGAGTCACACCTCACCAAATTTCCAGCACGTAGGCACAGGTGTGCACGGTGTCCCCTCGAGAGGTTCACAGATCAGTATGACAAAGAACTCCCAGTGAGTGTGTTTCCGAGTATCGACATCGTATGTGCATCCAACAGAAATGGGCAGGCCACGACTTCCAGATGTGTGCCACATGCAAGCTGTCTCAGCAGTGTCACACGCCAAGTGCCTGAGGAACTCCAAAACCCCACACTAGGGTTCTTTAAGGTGCTTGAATACCTAATCACGAGCAGACAAATCCTGCCTGGGTGCTGTGGGTGCTGCCCTCTCCAAGTCTTGGTTATTAATTGACAGGGGCTAGGCAATTACGCGCATTCCCTGTACCGAGTTCCTGCAGAGTCAGAGGAAAAGAGAACAGCAAGGACCTTTGCACCAGTTAGGAGAGCTCGCGCTTATCATGAGATGGAATGAGTTAGGCCGACGGTGATGTGCGCCACAGCACCGAGTAAGGCGAGGAACTTCCCAGACACATGAACCTCGACTAATCTTGGAGGTACAAGGACCTCTTTCGGTAGGCTGATCCGTCTTATGAGGCGCGACCTTCACCAATTTAGATGAGATCATGAGAAGTTTTTCTACGACTCAACGTCCCGACCGCCTCGGAACCTAAGAATGGAGATAAAGCCAATAATGAATCATCCACCACCCCAGCTCCTCGGCAGTTACAAAACAAGGTCGATTCACCACCATTGA